CGCGGCTTTTCCGAAGTTAATCCGACTCGCGTGAGTACAGAAATTCCAAACCCAAAGGCTTCGGTCGACAGGAGATCAATGGGATCCTGTCTATGTGAATGTTAGATGTAACGGTGTAAGGTTCCGGATCAACTCCGGAAACACTTGGTTTTGGATGTAGTCTGAACAGACAGCTGCGATATTGTTTGAATGCCGTCACCGGCGGTGGTGAGATTTTTGATATAATGTAACGGCGCAGGCAAGACTACTCGGATCAGTATCGGCGGTAGTGTCACTCAGAGGCATATGGGAGTGCGTGGGACATCAAACGAGCCTTAATTCGAATAGACACCTATAGGCCTTGTACGAAAGGATATCAAAAATCTATCGAGCTACGGTATGGAGAAGGTGGGGTTTTATATCAGCAGATCTGCCCTCGGCTAGTGCGTGCCCATGTTCGGATCCCTTTCGGATGTTAGTTCAGTGTGTACTCGAACCGTTACAGCGAACGCTTTAAGTAGAAGGTCTGATTTGCGCGAAGAGGGTTATAAAGAACTATATAACGCTCTACTTAAGATAATACCTAATAGCAGTCTAAAGTATAACTAGCCGGAACTAGCTAAGGTAGCTAAGGTAGCTGAGTAAGTAGAAACACTTGAATAATAATGGCAGGAAAAGGTAACGCTATAGCAGCAAATACTAGAATACCCGCCGGAAGTAATAAATAATAGGATAGAACTTAGAGCTCTAAGAGAAGGCATATAGATATACGTGTAACGGGCTGAACGCCCTTTGGATAGCTCCTCGATGGAATCTCGGCCTACTCGCAGAACCCGGGTGCTGTCTCGAGCACCCGGATTCTCTGCGCACCGCCCGAACGACGTTCAGACGACAGCCGCAGGACCCAGAAGCTGCCTCGTGCACCTAGACTTCACCGGTCCGATTGTTACTCGGGTAACCAGCTTGTATATAGACAGCTACGTAGCTTGGGAGCTTAGCTCCTCATCGAATACAACCTCTTGTATACCTCGCGATTGCTCCCCAGAGCGCAGCCCCTTACAAATTATATCACATGCCTACATCACGTGCCTATATTACACCGCTTAGTTAGAACTTACTCGTACGAAGAGTAGAGAAGCAAGGTATAAAGAGAGAGGTGTCGTACGACAGTTTAACTCTTCTTATCTTTCTTCTTCTGTACCATAGGCTAATGCAAACTCGTTCGAAGGCCTCTTCGCCCATAACACGGCGATGCTTAAGAAAACTTCTATATCGTATAGTAAACCGCAACTGCTTATAGGTATATTTTAGAGTTAATTTTAGACGCTTTTTATAGTAATATTTAACTATATTAAGACGGTAGAGCATCTAATAAAGCGTAGACTTACTAGAGGTAGGTAAACGGGCGCTATTAGGTTGCATAATAGTCGCAGCTTTAAGTAGCTATTTATACTTAATTTTAGGCGAACAGCGTACTTCGCGAAAGATAATCTTCTTCTAGTACCTTAAAAGTATCTATAGCCGGCCGCTGCGAGGTCTATCTACTATCATTAAGGTGGTATTAAACTTTTAGTAGAGGCGGGTAATAGTAGAGAGCGCGCGTAAAAAGATAGCTGCAACTTTAGTTACAGTACAACCACTACGTAATATGCTAATTGCAATATTTCGCTCCTCTATTGTCATATTTTAGCGACGGCAAGTAGTTTGCAACATTCTATGATTAAATTAGTGCGCTGTAGCGTTAGTGGGAGGTATTCAAAATGTGGACGGTGGGGAGTGGGGTTTTAGTGGGGCAGCTTAACTTGCAAAACTTTTGACGTGTGGCTGTAGCATGCGCGACTTTGTACCCCGAACATATTGTCGCGCGATACTTAGGGGTTAGGGGTTAGGGGTTAGGGGGGGGCACAATACAAGCTGCCCAGTGTTTACACTCCTAAGATAAGACAAAGATTATTGATATTAGGAAGACTACAGTTTCATATAATTAAAGGGTCGAACTTTAGAGAGACTCCCATAATTTTAATCTGATTTTCGGTAGCTTAAGCCTCAAAAGCACCCCTATGGATCGAAATACATGAGATCCAGCAGTCCGCCCAATTCCATCCAAGTAGCGTTTTAGATCTGGATCGGCCGATCCATCCGTCTATTTTCCACACTAGCTAGACGTCTGCACGGCCAGGTTCTTTAGACCCACCGGGACTGCTGCCAAATTGTGTAAGAGACAGCTCCTCAATCTGACGCCTAATATGGCTGTCAACGGATATCTGCTCAAAACATTCGTAAGAAGCGCTAGTTGATGACGAGTGAAGGACACCAAAGTGGTGCAAGACTCGCTGCGTCGGTGCTTTGAGGCAGGGCAACGAGGCAGCAATAATGGCTACCATCAACTCCAAGCCACACAACAAGTCGCTTCTTACAGCCATCCCGATCATACCTTGATCCTGAAAACTCCCTAAAAGTATGACGAGCCTCAAGACTCCAAAGACAGAGGCTATAAGGCCAGTCGCCATAAGAAATCCTATAAGGATTTTCTCACTCTTCGGTCGATGCATTTTCGCTATAAATGCAAGAGGAATTAGCGAGAGAGTGAAGTCGGAAGCGATGTTAAAGGCTTTAAAATGTTAACGACGAGCACTCTATTTAGGTATCTTTCTTCTACTTACAGTTGTACGTATATGCGTACGCCTTCATCTGCCACGGTTTTAAGCACACGGCATCCGGGTTGGCCTCCCATGCTGCACTTATTGGACGACAGTAGGCAAGGTTAACCGAAGTTGCGGAAAGGATCATCGCGATTTGGACGGCGATAAGGCTCCATAATGGCCATTTCCATCGTCTCGAGTCTTTTAGCCGTAGAATCATTAAGCACATTGAAATTCTGATCATATTCATGGCACAGAACCAAATAACGCCATTAGCAACCGCTAAGGGGCCAATAATCGATGCTTGTCTAGGATCCACAATAACGCGGCCGTATGAATACATCGCCACAACGAGTGCAAACCAAGCAATAGTAAGTAACTAGGTAGTGGATCAGCAATTGAAGATACGGCTAGGATCGTATGTATTTTCCACTTACTAGCGAAAATGCGAGAACATAATCATCCCATCTAAGAAGCCATTCGGGACGGTATCGGGAGTAGAAGCGGGCAACGGAAGTTAGGATAGCGATTCCTAGTAAGATGCCACCCGGAATTAGAAAGGTTGCGGCATCGCTGTGGCTAGCTGCCGAGGGGTTTGACATTACAAGTCCCTTACGGATTGCACGGGGACTATTGTGTCTGTTGAAAATGAAATAGTCTTAACATGGCATCTACCCAGTTGAAATCTTTGGAATGCCGCAGTTTGAATAGCTATATGTGCGTATGAACGACTGCAGCGCTCCACATTCAGCAACTCATTTCGTCGCTAAGCGGAACTTCCCAGGCGCTGCAACCCAAAGGTCTCATGGTTCGTGGGCTGATTCATGGTTCGTGGGCTGATTCATGGTTCGCGGGCTGAGCGCTATGATGGCCTAATATTCCACCCGGATGCATCCTTAGCTGGCCTCGACTCTTTTCTTTTTTGTCTGGATCATCTAATTCTAATCACGCCACCGGAAGGTCGTGCCGCTTTACTTGGTTTCGTGATCCCAAGCATGTGATCCGACCATATATACTTAAAAGATAGTAATCTTAAATTTTTAGAGAAATAATTGCTAAGCAGTATAATAGACTATAATAGCTTTGTATAAAGATATTAAGGAATTTCTTTTAAACTATCTAGTTGTTACAAGGTAACAAGTAAGGTGTCTCTCCTTGATGCAGGTCGCATGGTAAGAGACCATCGGGCGTCCACATCAGAAGGTAGATGACCAGTGCCCGAGGAACTTCGCATGAATCCTTCTGCATCTCCAGGACCTTTGGACACGTGCTCAATCGAGGAACCCTCTTTCTACCTTTACGAGTTTGGATATTCTCCAGACCTACTTATATTAGGCTCTCTGGTCTGCGAAGACTATACTAGACTAACCCTTTGATGTGCCCCTTTCTCTAAGATAAGGTAAAAATGCCTTTCTGATGTGATGAAGCATTACGGCTGATAGATGTAGTGAGCAAGATCTGAACAACACTGATTTGGTAACGTCTCAACCCATTAGTGGAAGTTTTATCAATAGTTCAAACACCAATTATTATTATTATTCCATTATAGTCCTGTATCAGCCGTTGGCTATGTAGGACTTTGGCCAAAGGCCGTTCTATCTAACTAGTTACAATTTGGTACGTTGTGCTGTATTGCGTGACTATGGTGCTTCGGCCTTTGTCTAGTTAAGCTAGTACTAGCTTTCTAGACGCCTGGTGCTAAAGAGCAGTTTGGTAACAGGGAGAGATATAGAGCAGCTAGGCTGCCTTCTAGCGAGCTCTCTTAGGGGATAGGAAATAGTGCTAGTAAAATCAAATTCGTTGTTCTTTGTTTTTCTTCTTTTCTTCTTATTTTTCTTATTTTTTCTTCTTTCTAGCCTTCTTGGCCTACATGCCACTTTCTTGTTCCTATCTTCGTGCTAGTAATAAAAGCTAGAGTAGCTTCTATACCGCTCGTAGTGTGGAGTAAGAGTGGGAGTTTAAGTACTTTCTGGCCTAGAGTTCTTTTTAAGTTGGTTTCTCTT